CATCCCTGGGGAAGATATCTTTTAAGACAGAATACACTGACCAAAGGAGCAGGGAAACAGAAGAAATATATTTCAATCAACTGTGGTTATAATATTCTTGTAGAAATAAATGCAGCACTTAGTGACAGAAACTAGTAAACCAAATATCCAAGAATATTAGCACAAATAATGGGTAGGTAATACATTCAATGGTGGAATTCTACATAGTCATGAAAAGGAAACACTATCGTTATCCATATGAAGAGCAAAGGAAGCCATATACATATACAAAAAGTCTATGCTGCACGATGACCTTTATAGACAATTCAGGATCAGGCAAAATTAATCTGTGGTACTGGAATTCCTGCTCGTACTTACCTTTGGGAATAAGGGTGGGCTTAGTGGCATGGAGGATGCTGGAGGCCGGAAAACATTATATATCTTGGTTTTATGTGATGTTTACAAGAGTGTTTACCTTGTGTTGACCTGCACAGTTTTCTGCATGAAGTACAAAGAGCATAATAAAGGATGGAGAGCAGGAAGCAAAGGGATAGATCCCTTGCAAGTGGGAAAGAGTCCAGGAGATCTGGTGGGGAGGGAAGCGGGTACGTGAAGGGAGAAGGAGAAGGAAGTAGAATTAAGATACGCCACACACAGGAAATTCGTGGCCTCAATGAATGTGAACACCGTGTGTCATAAGCATGAGCTAAGAGTGATACTAACAACAAGAATGAAAACGGGGAAGGGGCCGGGATTTAGCTCAGTGGTTCCACCACCCGCTCACAAGTGCAAGGTCCTGAGTTCGAGCCCCAGTACCAAAAAAAAGAAAAGGTGGAGAGGAAAGGGGATTTAGAGGAGAAGAAGGAGAGTGAGTGGGGATATAAAAAAGAAACAAGCTGAATTATACACATGTACCCTCTCCCCAAGAAGAAGGTACGCTTCCTGGACTGCCAACATGTACAATATAATAAAACGATAAAAATTCAATCGAACCTATGAAGAACACGGAAAATTTCCACTTTGAAAGGAAAAGACAATCAGATGACACAGATGTTGAAACTATCCGACAATGTCTTTCAGTGGTCATTATTAAAAATGCCCCCAAATAAAGAGTGAACACCCTTGGAATGGATGAAAAGACAGAAAGTCTTAACAAAACACACAAAATATAGGGCAGAATCCAACGGAAATTTTAGTTTTGCAAAATACAGTAACGAAAAACTACCTGTAGATACAGAATGGGGATAACAAAGAAAAGACTCCACGGACCTTAAGGTAAATCAATAGAAATTATGTAAATACCAGAGAGGAAAAAATGATTGAGGGGAAAGAAGACCAGAGGTTGCAGGGCAACCCCAAAAGATCTAACATTCATATCATCCAGAAGACAGTGTGGTTAAAAAGCTCCTTAAATATGTAGACCCAGGAACCTCAGTTAATCTTCAACAGGAACTAAAAGAGACGAATGCGCAAGCATGTCATAATCACACTGCTAAACTTAAGGCAAAGTATCTCAATCGCTTCTCGGCCTTTTAGTGAAGATCAAGTGCAGAAAAGTATCTCAAAAGAAGGCAGAGAAAACCAATGCTTTACTTACGGAGGAACAAAGATTTGGATGACTGCCAGTTTCCCATAAGAAACATGAGGCCAGAAGTAAGCAGAATATTTTTAAGTGTTAAATAAACTGCCAAGCAAGAATTCTCTGTCCAGTGAAAATATCCTCTAGGAATGAAACTGAAGTGAAGTCATTTTCAGGTGAAGGAAGACAGAGAATGTGTTGCCCCCAGAAGAGCTAAAGGAAGTTCTTCAGACGGAAGAAAAATGACACCAGAAGGCAAGAATATGAGAAAAATAAGGAAGAACAATAAAAATTATAAACATCTGTATAAATACTGTATTGTTCATCTCTGAAGATGTTGAAAATATATTTAATGGCTAAAAGAAAAATAGGACACTATCTCATAGATACACACACACACACACACACACACACACACACACACCCCCATACCAAGACTCTTATGTGGGAAGGCAGCAGGAGGGAAGAAATATATTCAAATTATCCAAAAGACAGAAAAGGAGCAAATAAGGGGGCTGGGAATTTAGCTCAATGGCACCATGCCTACCTCACAAGTGCAAGGTACTCAGTGCAAATCCTGAAACCCAAAATAAAAGGAAGCAAATAAAATACTACCAATAACTACATTAGAGTAAATGGTCAAAATACACCAAGGGCCAGGGATTTAGCTCAGTGGTTCCACTGCCTGCCTTGCAAGCACAAGGTCCCAAGCTTGATCCTTGGTACCAAAAAAAAAAAAAAAAAAAAAAAAAAAAAAAAAAAAAAAAAGGCCAAGGTCGGCAGAATGTGTATTTTTTGGGGGTACCAGGAATTGAACTTGGGTCCTTGTGCTTGCGAGGCAGGAGGTGGAACCACTGAGCTAAATCCCTGGCCCTGCAGAATGCATTTTTTTAAAAAATCAAGCATAGAAAAATACTGACTGAGCTGGGCATGGTGGTGCATGCCTGTAATGCCAGCACTCTGGAGGTTGAAGCAGGAGGATTGCTGAGTTCGAGACCAGCCTGGGTGGGCTACACAGTGAGTTTCAGGTCAGTATCAATACATAGTGAGACCCTGCCTCAAAAAAACAAGCAAACAAAAAAAACATACTGACTGAAATAGGTGAGGCCTACAACAAATTTATTTAAAAATTTTTGTAATAATGGTAAAAAATTAATTTATTCAGAAATAATGATTTAAGTATGTGAAACAGAATAACAAAAAGTACACACTGCAAAGAAAGTTGGAGCAGTTATATTAGTATCAAGGTAGATTTAAGAGCAGAGAAAATCATCAGAGGTAGAGAGACACAACATAATGCAAACATCAAATCACCAATAAGACATAAAAAATATTAAATGTGTGTGCACGAATAAGAGTACCCTTTTTTTTTTTTTGGTACCAGGGATTGAACTCAGGACCTTGGGCTTGCAAGGCAGCTGCGGTGCCAACTGAGCTAAATAAATCCCCAGCCCTGCAGCACTTTAAAATACATAAAATACCTTTATCAGAACTGAAAAGAGATTTTTTTTTTTTAATCCACAAAAAAATTTGGAGATCTAAACATCAGAAAACATAGAAAATCAGTAAGAATATAAAAGAACTAAATAACAGTATTAACCAAATAAAATCAACATTTAAAGAACATTTTGCTCAACAGCAAAACAGACATTTTTCCGAGTGCACATGGAACATTCATCAGGATAGATCACATCATAAGTCATAGAATAAACCTTAATAAATTCAGAAGAACTGAAGTCATATACAGTATGTTCTCTGACCATAATTTTTTTTTTATATCGCGGATCAAGCTCGGAACCTTGCTTTTGCAAGGCAGGCGGCAGAACCACCGAGCTAAATCCCCAGCTTCTGACCATAACAGAATTAGAAAAATACCTTAAAATATCAGAAACATTCTTAAATAGCAACAAATTAAACAGCATAACCCTAAATAGTACATGAGTCAGAAAAGTCTCAAAGGAAATCACAAAATATTTTGAACTGAAGAAAAAATTTTAAAACTGTTGACATTTGTAGTATGCAACTAAAGTCACTCTTAGATGGGTATTTACAGCATTAAGTTATACTTTAAGAATAAGAAAAATCTCAAATATCAGCTTTATCCTTAACATTAAAAAGGAAAATAAATCCAGAGCAAGCAAAAGAAAATAGAAATTTTAAAAAAAACAAAAACAGAAAAACAACTGAAAAACATGAATGATACCAAAAGGTCATTCTTTATATCTGTAATACAATCAAGAATTCTCAAAACTCATTATTGAGAAACAAACAAAATAAGAGGACAAACAATTCACCAGAAATAATTTATTTTATGGCAAATAATATTCACAAAGATATTCAACATCATTAAGAAAATGCAAGTGCTGAGCTATAATTACAACCCCATTAAAATAGCTAATAATTAAGAAAAAAAAGTTGACAATATCAAGAGCTAGCAAGGATATCGAGCAACTAGAATTCTTATACGTTTGTCATTAGTTCAAAATTCTACTGGGCCAGGAATTTAGCTCAGTGTCAAGTGCCTCACAAGCACAGGGTCCTGAGTTTGATCCCTGGTACAGCAAATAAAATAAAATAAATTTTTACAGCCATTTTGGATGCGGTTTGAAAGATTTTTATTAAGTTAAACATACACTTATCATATAACCCAGCAATCCTATTCCTAGATATTTAGGCTAAAGAAGTGAAAATTTATATTCACACAAACCCTGTACATGAGTGTTTACAGCAGTCCTCTTTACAACTGCCAGTACCTAAAAATAAACCTAGCTATCTTTCCAGGAGTGGATGAGTACACAAATGGAAATATATCTAAACAATAAAATACTCATCCACAAAAAGGAATGGACTACTGACACCTGTAACATCTTGGGTGACTCAAAGACATTATACTGAGTGAAAAAAAAATCCAATTTCATAAAGGTTACAATACTCTTTGATCATTTCACTGATATGACAATCCCCCAAAAGACACCAGGATAGTAAACAGAGAACAGATCAGTGATTGTCAGTGGTTCTGAGTAGGAGAAGCATGCAATTATAAAGGAATATGGTGTCAAGGAGTTTGGGGGCTGATAGAATTGTTCTCCATCCTGATCGCGGTGGTTAAATGAATTGACACACTAAAATTCTGTATAGCAAACTACTGGTATACAGCAAAACAAAAGGCCAATTTTATTATATCCTAGTATTACACATGATATTACTACAAATAAAGAAATAACTTTTTTCAAAGGAAGTTAGGAAAGTTTTATTGGAAAAAAGGAGGACAAGAGCTCCTGGATTTCCAGGGAGGCCCTGAATGGAGTAGCCCATGAAATAACTTTTGACCTTACTTTTAAGACGTTAGCGCACAAACTTCCACAGAGAAGACTTGGGCATCTAGGTTACATCAAAGACTAAAGACCACAAATGAAAACCAGGAAGACACCGGGATACTCACCACTGCTGGCCCCTCTACAGTTTCCATTACTAGAATCCATAGGAAAATCTGAAAGGTGATAAGGAAAGAACTGTAACATATTTGTTATTACGTCCAGAATTACTATATAACAATCTAATCTAATGGCAAGCTTGATTTGGTAAGAACCAGTTTTCTCGAGGAAGTGAGCCCGGCACTCTTGGTGCTTTGAATAAGGATGCCAGCTACTCTTCAATATGACTGAAAGGTGCTGTTTGCGAATCTTCATGCACTGTGCAGAATTTTCAGGCTCTAATAAATAACTTGTGTTCAAATGTCATACACGTTATGAACGACGAGTACCCTACCACAGTGAAGTCCATGCAAGTGTTAGGCACTCACCCAACCATCGCGGCATGAGGACAAAGAGAATCAGGCACACCGAGAATAAACAGATGTCTCACACCGCATCGCACCCCAGCAAACACCTTGGGGTCCGCGGAAAACATTCAGAGAGCTTTCCAGATCCTTTTTCAACTACGGACTAAGGAGATCTTCAGCAGAAACCTACTCCAGGCAATAAGCCGTGCCAGGGCAGTGATAGATGTGACAATAATTAGAAATTGCCCTTGATTCTTTTCATGACCACGGTCGCGGTCAAAGTCTCCTTTGCTCTACTGAAGACGCAGTCTCTAATGCATAGTGTCCAGGGCCCCAGCAGAGACCCTGGGGAGAGGCACGTGCTTCCCCATATATGCTCAACAACACTCCAATTTAGCTTCTAGACAAAAGTTAATGCTCTGGGCCGGGGATTTAGCTCAGCGGTTCGGTGGCCTGCCTTTGCAAGCACAAGGACCCGAGTTCGATCCCTGGTACCAAAAAAAAAAAAAAAAAAGTTAATGCTCCTATTAACACTTCATGCTAGCCAGGCGTGGTGGCGCATGCCTATAATCCCAGCACTTGGGAGGCTGAGGCAGGAGGATCGCTGTGAGTTCGAGACCAGTCTAGGCTACAAAGTGAGTTCTAGGTCAGTCTCAACTACATAGTGAGACCCTGTCTCAAAAAAACAAAACAAAACAAAAAACTCCAAAAAACAAACACTTCATGCTAAATGAACACAGTGCTTCTATCTTAATAGAAACAGTGTCCTTCCGCTGTCATTGTTCCACGGTCATTCATAAATTAAACAAGGACTGGGGATTTAGCTTAGTGGCTCCACCACCTGCCTTGCAAGTGCAAGGACCCGAGTTCGATCCCTGGTACCAAAAAAAAAAAAAAAAAAAAAGTCTTCCTAAATTAAACAAGGAGGGACACCAGCGACCACAACTATAACTAATGAATTACTCGGTCAGGCTGAGTAACTATCAGCTGGTTTTGTTTGTTTTTCGAGTGCTGAGGAATCATATCCAGGGCCTGGTGCCTGCACCTGCGCTACCACTGAGCCGTACCCCAGCTCTCACCAGTCAGCTGGTGTTTAAAAAGCTGTATAACAGAGATAGCAGTCTCCAAATCAGTAAATAGATAATCAGGCAACAAATACTAGTTCTAAAATAGTTGCCTCAACTTGGCCATAAACCATTAACTTAAAGCTTTTATTCCATTCGAACCTCATTCAGGATACATATGTCCATGTTGTAGGGCAATGGGCCAATAGATTTTTCTATTTCTGAGTAAAGTGACAAAAACACATATGGTTTATATAAAAATAATCTCCCTCTCGATGAAGAAATTACACTGGCCTATACTTCAAATGTTTAGTGTATAAAAGTTAAGTAAAAATGAAAAACAAGACTCTTCTCTTGAAAAAAGCAATCCCCTTTAAAATAGCTGAGCCAAGGAGGATGATTTCCTTCTTTACATCCACAGGGAAACATTATTACACTTTTGAAACTGCTTAGAAGTCAAGTGTTAGAACTGTAAGAGAAAAAGTCAGTTTTCTGACCATAAATAATCCCCCAAATGCTGACAAGGAGTTAAATTTAGGCCTTCCACCATCAAAATTATCTTGAACTAAAATAGGTTTCAAGCCACAAGGATTTCTGTTGGAGATCACAAAGGTTATAGAAGAAAAATTCAAAATAGCTGTGAGAGCCGGGGAGGGTTTTCTTTTCTAGGTAGGTATAAGTACTGTAAAGGTAGAGTGGACCCTTGACTTACAGACTCAATTGATTCCCAAGGGCTGTCTGTAGCTCAAGTGAGTTGGGAGTCAGTACAGCTGAGCTCTGCATGTTTACCTGGGTACACGCTGTAGATAACAAGAGGCCGGTAAATCGTCCATTAGCCTAATTAACCCAAGTTGTTTGTATGTCAGGCCTATCGTAACTAGAGGATCCCCTGTACCGGGGCGGGAAAAAGTAGTATGCAGCATGCAACCTGAACATCCTCCAGTGTGGCTGAGCAGAAAGCACAGTCAGCAGAGGGAAAGGAGGCTGGAGAGGGAGGCGAGTGTGAGCTCATAAAGGCCAGAGGGAGAGTCGGAGCATTTTACTTATTTTCTTTCTTAAATTTTTACTTATTTATTTGTTTGCAGTGCTGAGGATTGAATACAAAGTGTTTACACTGCCCCAGCCCTTTTTATTTTTATTTTGAGACAATGTCTCACTAAATCTCTAAACTGCCCAGGCCAAAGCTCAAACTTGCAATCCTCTTGTCTCAGCCTCCCAGAGTGCAGGGATTACAGGCTTTCAAGCAACAGGATTTTCATTTCATTGTTGAGACAGGCAGGAGGCCCACTGGAGACAAGGAAGACAATTATTATCATCTGGCTACCATCCTTGCAGAAACGGTGGGATCCAAACTAAGAAAATGCATTAGAGAGAAGGGAAAGGAAATGGGATTCAGAGCAGATCGAGCAGCAGTGACTGAAAGTGACAGATGAGGAAAAGGAGGAGTGGAGGCCGACGCCCCGGTCTGCCCAGCCAGGGTGTGTGTGGAGGTCCCTCCACGACCCCGGAACTCTAGCCACGGACACAGGCGAGGAGCACAGAGGCACCCAGGAGAGAGCTGCCGAGGCCACACTGGGGCTCAGAGCTGGAGGAACGGATGCGAAACAGCGCCTCTGCCAGCTCCAGGGCACCGAAGGGGGAATCTGCTGTCTCTTGGAATCCAGTCCAGAGCCCCGTTTCATTCCCTCAAGCCATCTACACATGAGCTTGCAAAAGACAATGAAAAAAAAAAGTCCCTTTAACTGTAACCAGATGGGCAAACAACAGAATCTCTATAAAGTTAGGAGTCACTTTTTTTGTTGTTGTTGCAGTACCAGGGATTGAACTCAGGACCTTGCACTTGCTGGGCACGTGCAGCACCACTGAGCTACATCCCTGGCCCAGGAGTAGCCTTTCTTAATAAAAGAGGAAGTACGGAGTAGAACAGGGCTTGATTTGAAAGCATTTTCTGACCAGCTGAACCAACTTCTCAGGTCATTTAGTTTCTCTATATGCCTTGGCTTTCTTTTCTGCAAAATAGGAACAACAGGATTTAGCACGGAGGTGCTATGAGAATCAAGTTACTGTGCGGAACCCACGCAGGAAGGTACCTAGAACACAGGTGTTGTGAGCTGTTATCTGATGCTGCTAACGACCTCTGTCCAGAGGGTGGCACGTGCTCTCCTCAATGATGTTATGAAGGATTTCTATTGTGTTTTACCATTTACCAATTCAATTCCCACTCAGTATAAACATCAAGGGACCTGTCTTTTCAAAGTACAAAATCAACTGCAAATCTAAAATTCCAGGTAAGGACCTGTAACTCTAAAACTGTGGTTTTTCTCTAAAATGAGGAAACACAGCCAATTCTTCATTGTACAAAACTATAGGTCTACATGGTGCCTCAGTCTGTCTTTTCTCTCTAGACACCTGGTAGAAAAAGAAAGGCTAAATACCACTTCGTCAATTGTGCTCTTTCAATGACTACTTAAAAATAAGGTAAGCTGAGTGTGGCGGGGCACGTGTGTAATCTCAGCACTCGGGAGGCTGAGGCAGGAGGATCGCTGTGCGTTCGAGACCAGCCTGGGCTACATAGTGAGTTCCAGGTCAGCCTCACGACATAGAGAGACCCTGTCTCAACCCCCACTCCCAAAATCAGGTAGGAAGGAGATAAAAAGTACATTGTTAAAATATTTAGGGACTACATAAGATTTCATATCACTGATAATCAGATTAGCGCTAAATAAAACCAGGGCCACATCAGTGATATTCCCATACTCCATCCAGAGTGTCTTGCCATATTTTACTCAATGAGGGAAGCTTAGCACTGTACCATATTTCTCTCTCGTCCTAACCTAAAATTTCCATTTCTCCTTTCCATTCCATATTCGTCCTCACAGCCTTCGTTCTTGGTATTTGGCCCCTCAAATATTTGTAGCTCAGGGCTAAAGAAAAGGCTGCCTGTTCCTCAGAGAGGGAGAAAGGAGCTGCCGTTTGTGCATGAGGAAGCTGGCGCGCTCCGCCAGGCGCTGCGCTGCGGCGGAAGATATTGAGCTGAGGGCCAGCATAGCGCTACACTGAGACCAGCAACACTGAGGGGCGATTATGAAGCCCTTGGCCTCGCAAACTGAAGGTGGTGCCGAAGGAGCTGTGAAATATCGTACCATAAACTTTCTCAGAGTCTCGATTCCTGAGATAAGCTATTCATAATTAACAGACAGCCATTGTCTAAGGGCATTCTTTTCTCCTGTTATTCCCAACGGGATTTACTCTTGGGCCTGAGGCCCAGGTTGATTTGCAGAAGATCAAATATTAACTTTATCCATTCAGGAGAATTAAGATCTGCTTCTGCAGTTAGGTCTCAGGGGAGGGCTTGTTTCCCACAGATGAACTCGTACAAGTTCTAGGCTCTGTCTGTATTGACCGACAAAGAGAGAAATCGAAATCGTCAGTCAATTTGGTGTAACAATGAGAGTGACAGCAAAGAAGCAACAGTGGAGCAATTCCCTCAGGGCTTTTCTTGTGCTTGTGAAGCAGGTGCCGGCATCACTGAGCTAAATCCCCGGCCTCCTCTCGGGCTTCCTATGTACCAGGTACTAGACTCAATGCTTTTCATGCTGTGTTATTCAATCTGTTCCAGCCCTTCGGATGTAAGGAGTTCGGTCCTCATTTTATAGATAAAGCACTGAATCAGAGAGGTTATGTAAGTTCTCTATAGCAACAGCTGACGGCCAAAGAGTTATGAGTCAACGCTGCCTGCCTGACGCCAGAGCCAGCTGAAGTCATGTTCTTTACTCACCAGGCCATAGTCAGCATTTGACTAACTGTGTTAATTAACCAGCTGCAGTGAGCTCTCAGAGAGCACGAGAAGCAACCCATGTAGCCACAGTCTACTGTAAATGCTACGTAAGAAAAATAAACTTAATATAGATGTATTCATAATGGGCAGCAGGCAACCTATTCTTTATAAAAGTACATTCACCCCTCGTGTTTTGCAAGTGAAAAGTAGTTTGAAGCATTGTTCTACTGCTTTGTGAAGTGTCCTAAGCTTGTCTGCGGGGTCAGTGTCCCACGAGGGGACAGATCCCCACGTACAGGAACATCTGGAAGTCTTTTCAGTATTAAAGAAAGTTGAAGGCTGGCCCTATTTTATTGAGGGAATCCTCAATTTTATTTTGTCTAGATGGAGTCTAATCATAAGACACAGGACTCCATCTATACATAGAGGAAAATAATATGCATCATGAACAACCATTTCGCACTAAATCAAACGGTGTATCGCATCGTAAATAAGACTGGTCACATATGGTAGTTTCTAAGTCACTCCAGGTGTCTGACAGTTTGACTCGACGGAACGTGGTTTACAACACACTGACCCTGGAAGCCAGGGGACCCTTCAGGTTACAATCCACCCCTCATTCCCACCCTCACCTCCGTCTCAGGACTTTCCAGCTACCATCGTCTCTGGTTCACATGGAACCAGAGGGGAGGGGCAGCATCTCTACAATACAATTTTAACTACCACCTACTGCTACTTATTTTTCTAGCAAGGATACTGTCAGTAAAACAAATATTATGGCATTTTAATGCAGCTCAGAAATCAGTCCCCTGGACTGACAAATTGTTTCCATGCAAGTCGTGTTGGAGCATTTCAATGAGGCAATTGTTCTCCTTCTGGTCTATGGTGATAGGTAACTCGGGGTCACTTTAGGAAGCTGCTTCCCATCCATATTGACTGTGGCTTTTTTGAGAGCCACTAAGTTTGCCAAACCTCACTTGCTCCAGGTCCCTCTCAAAGAGCTTTAAGAGCATATCTTGTCTTTTAAGGGGTGGATGCATTTCAGCATGAACCACTGCCACCTCCTTCCCAGTCTTCAGCCCAAGAAGAGTGCCAGTGTCTTAACTGATGCTAAGTGCCTTGGCACACCGAGGCAGCCAGGGCACTGAGCTCCTCCAGGGTCTGTCTGCAGAGCCGGTGACAATGGGTGCACAGGCTTGAGAGTGTGCTTTTACCCCAGAGAGGAATAAGAAACACACACTGCTGCCTCAGTGTTTTACACATCTGGCTCTTGGTTCTTGATCAACATCAAGAAGACAATACAGTCATTGAAACAGTGCTAAACCAAGTGAGGTGACCACCAATAAATTCTTGAAATCTTTCCCTTCACTCTTGGCCTCTCAGCTGTTTGTCCAAGTCTTTCCACTTCTCTCATTTTATGTTGATGAGTCGATGTGATTTTTCAGAATAACCGCTAACATTATCTAGCAATGCAACTGCAAACATGGACCTAGGTTGAGATGAGAGGCAGCGGAAGGCGAAGTGGATGCCCAATAAATGAACAGAGATGAGACAACTAAGTCAACATATCTCAGAATAAGGCTGATCTGGGGAAGGTACAAAAGAGGACCACGAGTGTTAAAAGGACAACAAAAAAAAACCTTTCAATTTTAAAGAATACGCAGGGTATAATTTGAGGTTTGGCTTAGTTGGCAGGAGCCACACTGAGTTAGAATTAAACGGACCATAATGAACTAGACTTAGTTGGGGTTTTAGAGTTACAAATGTCATAATTTGACCAAACACAAAGGAGAAAACAATCTGTGATTCATTCCATGAAATGCAGAGCTGCAATACAGTTTTATGGTTGGAGAAAACTGGAAATGAATGTGCAGGTAAAGGGAGCATGAAATGAGGTATTAAAGAAATATCATTTGCAGAGTACAACAAGAGTGAGAGACGGGGTGAGATTATTACACGGGCACAGGGAGATAAGGTGCCAAAAATAAATTTTCTCATCCATTTGTCATTTGCAAAGTCACCCGAAAGCAGGCGGGCCTGTGAAAAGAGCCAGGGATTTCAGTCCGCAGGGTCCAGGGCTGGGGCAAGCTGGAGAAGCTAATTAGCAGTGCATAGCAAAGGTTCTCAGCAGTGTCCGCTGGGAATGGAAATACAATTTGTCTCACTGAAAGGAGGGGAAATTTAAGGTGAAGGTAATTATTCAAACTGGATTCTGAGCAAACACACAGCACTAACATCTGTGGGCTGGAACAGGGTTGCCGAAATTATCTTGGCATTTTCAGTGATTAGAAGAAAACGAAGTTTTTGGCTTTCTTTTGTCTCCCTACAGTCCCAAGCAGCTAAAATGCTAGGTACCGAAAAAACTTGGTAACTGGGATTGCAGGAGAACGGGGCCAGGACACTCAAGGACTACACACAAACTAAGAAGCCAAGAAAAAAGCATCGGTGTACTAACTGTGGCCACTTCCACGTGTAAGGCACAGAAGGGGCAGAGGCAGAAGCCGACGGCAGTGGAATGAATGGGGGTTAGAAAAGCAGATCAGTCTTGGAAGAACGCGTCCCTTTGGAAGAGGACGAGGTGCGACTGTTAAGAAGTGTTCAATAGGAGAGCGATCAAGGGAGAGGGAAAGTGACCCGGAGAGGGAACCTGAGGGGCAGGGGAAACGCAGGCGGCCTGGACGGGAGCAGACTCACCGGCTCCGTCCGCAGTGACGATGGCCTCGGGAGAGATGCACACGCCCCTGTCGTACACCGGCAGCTCGTCGCAGGCCAGGCTCTCGGGCCACGCGTGGCGGTACTTGATGAGGATGGGCTCGCAGCCCTGCCGCGCCCGCTCGCACACCGACTTGCAGGGCTTGATGGGCTCGTGCTGGAAGTCGATGGTGCAGATGGGGGCGTACATGGCGCAGAGGAAGAAGAGCAGGTCGGGGCTGCAGTGGGTGCCCAGCAGCCCTTCGAACTGCTCGATGGCCAGGATGGCGTTGGCCTGGGTGCTGTGGTGCAGGTGGTTGGGCATCTTGGTCATGTTCCAGGGCAGAGACTTGCACAGCGGGATGCGCACGGGCTCGCAGGCCGCCGCCCGAGCCGCGG